AGATCTGGAGCCGAGGTCTGGCCGAGATCTGGCCGAGATCTAGCCCCTCTCTAGCCCCGAGGGGCGGGGCGCGCTCGAGGGGCGGGAGCGCGCTCGAGGCAGGGGCGGGGGCGCGCTCCGTCGAGCGATCTCACTGACCCAGCCGGCTGTGTGAGGTGGATGCATAGGCGCACGTGCGGCAGCCCGACGGCCTCTTTGGCGACGCCGCCCGCGCGGGAAGCCCTCTGCGCGCCGCGCTGTCCGACGGGCTCCTCCCCGGCATCGAGGCGCTGCGCGGTGTGTCGCTGGAGAACGAGGCGCCCGCGCCGTCGCCGCCCCCCCAGCGTCCCACAACCAGCGCCCCACCAGCGCAGGCCCTTGCGCGCGACAGCGAGTGCTCTCATCATCACGCTCCCTCCTACAGGCTCCAGACGAGCTCACGTGCTGCATCACGCTGGCGCTCATGACCGACCCCGTCGTCGCGCTCGACGGCGAGAAGCTGCTCTGCGCTTCACATGCTCCAGCTCCCCGCGCACCCGCCGCGTGACCCCACGCCGCGTCATATCCCGCAGGCAAGAGCTACGAGCGGAAGGCGATCGAGGCGTACTGGACGAGAGAGAAGGCCGCCGTCTCGCCGGTCACGCGCAAGCCGCTCCAGTCCAAGACCCTCGTCCCAAACATCAACTTGCGCGTCCTCTGCGAGGAGTACTCCGCAAGGCAGCGCCGACTCCACGGCGGCGCAACCTCGCCGCAGGACGTCGTCATGGGCGCGCTGCTCCCGCCGCCGCACGCGCCCGGCGCGAAGCGCAGGCGCCCAGCAGAGCTGGAGCCCGACGTGGCCGCAGGCGCCAAGCGCAAGCTTCGGCTGGCCTCCGGAGACGGATCTCCGCCACCGGTCTGACGCGGAGACGGACCGACCCTCCGTGAAGGGATGTCAAGAGAGAGGCGGGGTCGCTGACGCGGCGAGGAGAGAGACGACCGGCCCATCATACTGAGCGCGGGCCGCGGGGGGGGCACACGCGGTGCAGTGTGCTCAGTCCTCAGCGCTCTCAGGCCCAGGTCTCAGGCTGCGTCAAGCAGAAACGGGGCGCATTGTGTTTCGGTGTGAGGCACGAGCTCCGCTTCGCAGTGGGCTCGAGGACATGAGCTGAAGACGCTCGTGGGCACGATACACCGGTTCATTGTCGAGGCCGAGCGGGAGTCACGGCGCCAGCAGCCGAAGCCGCAGCGCAAGCGCGCAACGCGAGTCAACGAGGTGGCCGTTCAGGGCGGCTTTAGTGAGGGCGGGGCCTACGACAAGTCGACGGAGATGTGGCTGTTGCACGCTCGGAGGAGAAAGTGCGAGACTGCCGTGCTGCTGCCCCGCGCTGCCCCGCTCGCCGCGTCTCTCATCGAAAAGATGCGCCTCGACGGCCGGCTACCATCCTCGCCCGAGGCGCTCCGCGCCGCCAACCCTCTCGGCCGCAGCGGCGCGCTGGCTTGGCGCACGCTCTTCTTCTACAATCCGGCGGGCGTGTGGAACTGCGTGCTGCGAGCCTTTGCGAGCCTCGTCGGGCGCGGGCCAGCCAACCTCTTTGGCGCGCACGACCCGCTGCTGCTGCCCGAAGGGCTCATGACGCAGACGCTGGCGGACGCGCTTGGGTCTCGGCTGAAGGACGCGGCCGCCGGCGCTTTCCGACTCACCTACCCGTTCAAGGGCGCGCACGCGGCCGATGCCCTCGTCCGGTGTGTCGGACTGGGCGAGGGGTGCTTCCTCTACGGCTGCTTGGCTCGCAACGGCGCCGGCGAGCCTCAGCCGCACTGCATCGGCGTGAACGTGGACCTGCGAGTCGTGTACCGCGGCCCTGACGCGCTCGTCATCGAGGAGGAGGAGATGAGCGCGCCGCGGCTGCTGCTCACTCGCCTCGACGCCGAGTACGGCATCTCGTTTGACGACACCTGCGGAGTCCGTCAGCTCGAGATCAACCCGCACCACCCCGCCGCCTCCTCCTTCCCATACGCCAACCCCGCCCACCTCGCGAGCCTGCGGGCCGGGATGCACGTGTGGGGGGGCAAGACGAAGCGCAGGCGCGGCCGGGCGCGAAAGCCTGCCTCAACCAAGCCGCTGCCACCCTCGGGCGGGTCGGCGTCAACCGAGCCTCTCCCGGCCGTATCCGTGCCACCGCCCTGATGGCTGCAGG